GCAGAGCTCATGGGTCACCAGGCTTATTCAGTTAGTGCTTCTGGTCAGCAATCTCTTGGCCACCTTATACTTCCTTCTACCCCTACGTCCTATAAGTCACTCCTCGATATCCTTGTGGTTTCTTCACTAACCAATCAAAATAAAAGCTTGGCTCATGCTTACTCTGTGCTCGGATGAGAACTATTAATAGTTTTATTTTTAAAGATTTATCAGATTCATGTATGCTTGTTTTGTGTCTGTCTGTGTCTGTTCAGGTGTTTGCAGAGGCCAGGCTGGGCATCAGATCCCCTGGAGCTGGCTGGATCCACGGGCATTTGTAAGCTACCCAATGTGGGTGCTGAGATCCAAACAAGGCAGAGCAGTCAGTGTTCTGTCCAGCCCCAGCCTTTCACAGTTTGAAAATGAATTGATATTTTATAGGAATGAAATTCGGCCCAAATATTTTACGTCTTTAAAATGCATGTACTCCGGTAGCTAGAAAATCCACATTTAAGAATTCATCCTAAGGAAATAAAGATGTGCTCGAAGAGTTTGCTCCAAGAATATCAATTGCTATGTTTTGTGTGAGAATGAAATCCCAGCAGGATGTGTCCATGTTGATTGCTGAGTAGCGTCTACATGTGCTCGAGAATAGTTGTTTCAAAGCGGGTGAAAACTTTTCTAAGCATCCCTATGTACTTTGAGTCATATTTTCTTGTGACCTTTCAAAAAGCCGGAAAAGGTCACCAGTGAAGTGTCCCAGAAGCTGAAAGTGCTTGTCACCAAATCTAATGGCCTGGGTTTGATCTCCAGGCCTCATGCAATGAAAGGAGAGAGCTAACTCCTGCAAGTTGTCCTCTGGGCTCTGCGTGTGCGCACCTACACACACAAAACATGTAATTCATTGAGTGTGAACTGCAGGGAGGGAGGGATGGAGGGAGAGGTCCCAAAGTCTAGTGACACTGTTCTTTCAGTTCTGGTCAGCATCTGCTGGGGTGTTGAACCCCTGGCTGCAGTTTTTCCCTCTGCTCCAATTCCTGCTACTATTTCGGGGGACTCAGTGTCCTCTGCATGAACTCTCCAACACCTTAGCTTTCCAGTTCCTTACTATCCCACTTTTCCAGTGACCTTTTACTTCCTCTCTGGTCCTGTGACTCATCCCAGTGACATTTAGATGTCGTCTTCCTTAGGAACCGTTCATCACTAATGCTTCTGTGCTTTCTTCTCAGCTTTGATTTTATATAAAAATGCCCACTTTAAGTGAAAAGAAGAAAAAAAAGTTGTTCAGAAAATACATCATTAAAAAAAAAAAGTCCAATGAGGGGGCTCAGTGGAAAGAGGCACTTGCTGCCAAGGCCAGTGTTGACCTCAGTTCATTCCTAGGCTGGCTCCATATGGTGGGAAGTTGGCAAAGATTCCCTGCGGTCTCCACTAGTGTGATGACGTGTACATGCACACACACCCATACACAAAGAAATAAGCGGTTTTGTTGTCTTTTTAAAGAAAGGAAAGTTAAAACACTGCTGCCCGAGGGTTGCCAGTCAGCCTGCTTGAAAACTGTTCAGCATTTTGCCAGAAATGGTTTTTTTATCCGTTGTACCTCCAAAGTTCCTACTTTTTGCTTTTATCTGCCCTTTTTCCACTAAATGATCTGTCTTCCCAAGGTGATAAGCCGTAACCGTATCCTCATTGTTATGACTGAAAAATAACTTGCAGAGTGCTCGTGCTATTCTTCAGCTGACTTAAGACGCCTCACCCCCAAGTATGATTGACACTTCTGCCAGGATGGGTCTTTGCTGAGGTTCTCAACCTGTGGGTCGTGACTCCCTTTGGGACTGAATGACCCTTACACAGGGGTTGCCTAAAACCATCAGAAAACACAGATATTTACACTATGATTAATAACAGTAGCAAAACTACAGTTATAAAGTAGCAACAAAAATAATTTTACAGTTGGAGGTCACCACAACATGAGGAATTGTACTAAAGGGTTGCAGTGTTAGGAAGGTTGAGAAGCACTGCTATGGAGTCTTGATAGCAATCCCCTCCCCACCCATCGCCTCAGGACTAGGGTGAACACTTTCCCCCAAGTCATAACCATCAAAAATAGCTCCAGGTATTGTCAAGGGACTCTTTGGGAAATATTGCCCCAGAGAGAATCACTGTTGGAAGCAGCCTGCTTAGGTTAGACATTTAGGTTTTATTTACTTTGTCAGGATTTGAAAACAACACTGATTCTGAAGCTCTAACCTTCACGGTCAATACAACACATTTTGGAATGACCTTTGAAGAAGAGATCGCACCCATGAAATGTTGCTGTCTTTTCCCAGCAAGTGTAACACAATTGAAAGATCATAAATACCATTTCCTGGTATTGTCAGTCTTTTAAAAATCATGCCTAGTGATTAGCAAAACAAAATATTATCTTTCCCTTTAGATATGTGATTCTTTGATTGCTAGCCAGGTTGGTAACATTCCCTGTGTTTATTGACTGTTTATATTGCTGCTTAAGGACCTGCCCATTGTCCGTTGCCCATTCTTGATTTTGTAAGAGCTGTTAATTCTGCTTTCTGGTATGTCAATCAGCCTTTGCTGCTATGGCAAAACACCCAAGGAAAAACAACTTAGAGGAAGAAAGATTTATTTGGGTTCAAAGGTTCAGCACATAGACTCTTGGTTGTCCTGAGGCAGGTCACGGTAGGAACATAGGACAGAGCAAAGCCACTCAGCTCTTTAGAGGCAGGAAGCAGAGTGAGCAGAAAAGGCTAGAAACAAGGCATGTCCTGGAAAGGCATGAGCCCAGTGACCTACTTCCTCCAATCAGGCCCTATCTCTTAGTTTTCATCATCTTGAAATAATGCCATCAATTATGCACACACCAGTGGATCGATCCACTGATGAAGTCAGCCCTCATGATCCAATCATGACTCAGCCTTCAACACAGGAGCTTGTGGCGGACATTCCTATGCAAACCATGACATCCGGTTTTGTCCTTTTTTTTTAATTATTATTTTTTTTTTGGAAGCTTTGTGCTGGGTTTGCCTATACAGAAACCATATGCTTTTGTTTCACCAAATTATCAGCCATTACACTACGGTTTTGCTTTAAATCATTTCATGATAAGGAAGATCACCTCTGAAACCATAAACCTGAGATTTTTTTCTCTATTAGCTTAAATTCTTATTTTTCCACAGCTTTCATATTCTGACACTGAACCTTTTCTTTTTCTCTCTTTCTTTCTCTAGAGCAGTGTTTCTCAAACCGGAATGCAGGATGGATCTCTGAGCTCTGTTAAGGCTTGCAATGGGATGAGAGATCCAGAATTTTCGGCATGCTCCAGGTGACATCAGTGTCCTTAAGACCACACTCAGGGTCACTGAGTGCTAAATCTTGAGGACCTCAGGCCTCTGATTCCCCCTCCCCCATCCTCTGACTGGTCCTTCTGATCTGGTGTGAACCTCCAGGGCAGTGATTGCAACTTTTCCTCACCCCTTCATTTTCCTGGAATTGAGAGGGTAATCCATATCAGTACTGATGAAGCCACCACCTCCCAGTCTGCGCCACAGAGCCACTACAGCAGTGGTTCTCAACCTCCCTAACGCTGCCACCTTTTAATCCAGTTCCTCGTGCTGTGGTGACACCCATCCATAAAATTATTTTCGTTGCTACCTCATGACTGTGATTTTGTTATGAATCGTAATGTAAATATCTGATAAGCAGGCTATCTGATGTGCGACCCCAAGGGGCCCTGCCCCACATATTGAGAACCGCTGCTTTAAACCATTAATTCTTTTGTTATTATGTATGTGCCTGGGGGTGGGGGAGCAACAAGGATCACATTGCACCTGTGGAGGTCAGGGACACCTTGGTGGAGTCTGGTCTCTCCTTCTAACTTTACATGGGTTCTGAGGCTCAAACTCCGGGGGCCAGTTTTGCAACCCGAGGAATCTTTACCCTCTAAATCATCTCTCCCACCCTCAAGGGCCCTTTTAAGAATAACCCCCTCCTTTTGTGCTCCGGGAAGGAGATTTCACCCCATCAGGTTGGGATGGATGGCCCCTGTCGTCACTACTTTAAAAATCTGTTCACGAATGTTGTAACTAATCAGTAGCTTTTGAAGTTTGTTTTCATCAGACCCTTACAGGTCTGTATTTCTCTAACAGGGTTCTGAAAATCCACCGGACAGTGGGACAGTGCATGTGGCGTCCTGTAGAGCATGATAGTCTGTGTCACGAACTATTGCTCATTAGTCACGGTCTGTGTTCAGCGGGATGGCCAGTGTCCCGATGCACTTCTCATCATCAGTCACGACCTGTGTTCTGTTTAGTGCAAACACAGCCCACCCCATCCTCCCAGAAAGCAGCAGTTTAGGAAGAAGCGCCGGAACTGGCCTGAGGAATCCCAGTAGCGACAGCGGCTCTGCTTCTGTCCTGCGAGTTGGTCGCAAACTTAACTCTGATTTAGTCAGATCTCTTCTGCTATAGACTTTTGTTGGACATGCTCCCGTACTGCACAACTTGGCACTTAGAGCTCACAGAACACGTTCTTTCTTAAAAGCCCCCACCCCACCCCACCCCAGCCCAGCCCAGCCCAGCCCAGCCCAGCCCAGCCCCAGCTTCGCCCATTGCAGCGCAGGGCTGGAAGCCAGGTGACCCCGCACCGCCCACCGCCCACAGCCCAACCGCGGGCACCGTGTCCACCACCACCACGGCCGGCACAGCGGAGGCCGTGGGCGGCTTCTGTGCAGTGTCTCGGGGGCCGCGGTGGCCGAGGGCAGGCCGCACGTCCAACAGGGAGCCGGGACGGGTCGCGCTCCACCGCCCACGAGCAGCTCAAACACCCCGCGGGGCTCGCAGTCCCTGGAGCGAGAGTGACCCCGCCCCAAGGGGCGGGCAAGGCGCCGAGTGGGCGTGTCGGTGGGCGGGGAGTCCCGGGCCCCGCCCCTCTGGCCGGGCTATAACTCCCCGGAGCGCCCGGCGGCCGCCGGCGGGCGGAGACGCGCGCCTGGCGGTGGTGAGACGGGGCGTGCAGGAGGGTGCTGCTGCCGGGGACTCGGGCGAGCTGCGGGGCTCCGGATTGCAAGGGTCCACCCTCCTCTTACACCTCGGAAGAGGGAGCGTGGAGCTCAGGTGCCCGCCGGGTGTCCTCGGGGCCGGGAGGAGTCCCGGCGGGAGGTGCCCGCGCTTCCCCCTCGGCGGTCCTCAGCAGCTCTTTCCCTTCTCCTCCATCTCTTCTAGGACATGGACCTCGCGCGCCTGTGGCTGGGGCTTCTGCTGCCCGTGGTGACGGCCCTGGATTTCCGATACCACCACCAGGAAGGGATGGAGGCGTTCCTAAAGAGCGTTGCCCAGGACTACAGTTCGATCACGCACTTGCACAGCATCGGGAAGTCTGTGAGAGGTAGGTAGGTCGCCTCCCGCGCACGTCCCCAACCCTCAGCTCCCGTTCAAAAAAGTTCATTGAATGGCAGCGTCTGGTCCCCGGTCGGTGAAGCTCCGGGGCCGCGCTCCACAGGTAAAGCATACCTGGCCCGATCTGTGGTTTTGTTCAATTTTGTTAGATCAGGGGAGTAGTTAAGAGGAGGACATTGTTTATCTGAGAGGTGTGTTTTCGTTCCCTTTCAGGGTAAACATCTTCCTAAGAAGTCTGTTTACTCTAACTCAGTTTCCCTTTTGGTTGGCTTCCTTGCATACTTATTTGGGACTGTTCACTACTGTTTCCTCGAATTGCTTTTAAACCAGACAGTGCCATAGTTTTGCTGAGTTCTATGCGTGTGTATTTAACCCTATGGCTTAAAGTTATGAGAAAAAGCGGCTCTATGGCTAAAGGCTGCTTTTTAAATATATCCACTTAAAGGTCACGCCTGCTAGGTAATAAGTAGCGACGAATGATAGTTTTAGCAGCCTCGTGTTCATCACTTACTTTGCTTTAATTTAGAAACTATATATTCTGGGTGGAGAAAGCAGATGTGAATCGTAGAAATTAAGTATTTTGGTCAAGTCACCTAGGTGGCGATTTTCTTCATTATTTGTATTTGTTTATTTATTTATTTCACTCCTGGAGATCAAACCCAGGGCTTCATGCGTGTTAGGCAGGCACTCCATCACTGATCTAACACCCTCCTCCGTGCCCCCCCCCCCCAGCCACAGATGGTGAATTTTTAGCCAGGATTGGCACCCGATCATTTCGGGTGGGACAAATTTAGTAGGTATCATTATTCCTTCATTTTCTGTTACTACATTGATTCCTCCCAAAACGTGGTTACCGGAAAACTTAATGTTTGACGTCAAAGATTCATAAAATTCGTGCGGTTTGGATCTCAGCTTTGAAAGTTGTGTTCAGATTTTGCCTGAAGTTTTAGCTCCAGTCTTTTGACTCACTTGAGAGTCTCATAACCATATTACTAAGCAGTCACTTTTCCTAATAGTTAATATCATGATTCTTATATTATAGCAAAACATTGAAGTACAATAAAAAAAAAATCTTGGGCTGTGTGACAGAAGCTTTACTTTCAAACGACATTGCCAAGGAGTTGGTGCCAGAAATAGTCTGAAGTAATTTGGGCTCCACAAGCCCACACTACAGAGGTTAGTTATGTGAAAAATTATATCTTGAATCAGCGTCTATATCGAACCCCTTGAAATAATTTATCCCAAGGGCTGGAGTAGATCAATTTTAATAAAGGATTTAAGAATGCTAAATATATTAATAAAAGAAATGTACAACCCAACTAACTTGATGCCATTGTTCAATCATTTTGAAACTACAAGATTATGGGATGCTGTAAATACAAGGACTAAATGACTCGTGTGTTTTTACGTTTCCAAACACGAGGTGCTTGTGAAAGATGGCTGGGACTCTCTGAATGTGACATGAATCAGCCACTCTGATCTGTCCCGTCTGAAATTGAACCACAGTGACAGCCAGTAGGACTTGACTTTGACTTTAGCCTTGAGTGCACTTTTGTGGGTAAATAAACTCTGGCACCAGCATCAAACGTTTGTGTTGAGTGTGCATCTCTAAGCAGTTACTTAGATTAGAAAAAAAAATCTCGAATCTGCCATTGGGTTCCAAGTAGTAGGTTAAACTGTACACCTGTGATCAGGAGCCGGTTGCCAAGGTAGTCCTGCATTTTAGTGTGATAGGCATGGTGCTCTTCTCCACCAGCTAAGAAATTTTCCCTGGACTTTTTCCGCTCTGCTGTGGGATATGTGTACTCAGCAAGCAGGATTTACTCTAGATTTTCTTTCTTCTGTGGTCAATATGGGCAACCTCACCCAGAAGAGAACATAATGCAAAATTGGCCAAATGCATCTTGGGTTTTGTAAATATCCATCCCATTTCCATTGCTGCAATTACGAATTCAACTTTTTTCCAATTTCATGCTGTTTTATTATTTATTTTTAGTAAATATGATTTGGACTACTGATTTGAATTCTCTTGATTTTATACTGTGGTTATGTGTATTTTCTTAGTCATTTTTTTTTTTTGCCTCCTTGGGACATTGGAATACTTCCTGTATTCTTCTAGTGTAACTGAGTTTTTAAACATTATTTAATTTTATGCCATGTGTATGTGTGTTTTGCTTGCATGTTTCACTGACATGCGTGCAGTGCCCATATCATCCACAGAGAGCATCGTGTCCCCTGGAACTGGAGTTCTTGCTGTAGTGAGCCTCCATGTGGGTGCTGGGAATCGAACTCCAGTCCTCTGGAGAAGCAGCCAGTGCTCTTAACCTGTGAACCATCTTTCCAGTCACGAACTTTTATTTTTAAATAAAAATTGAAACCCGCACAATAGCTGATCACAGATTTACTTTTTAACCTAGATTGAGACATGGTAGATGAACCACATTCAACTCGAGGCTTTGAAGGAATTCTTACGACCTATTGACAGAGTGTAGAAAAATCTTAGGTTTAAACAAGAGAAGCAGCTCAAACCTGATGGTCAAGTTGGGATATTTTTAGAGGGCACAATATCCACTATCTGTAGCGTGTGGTGTGTGTGTGTGTGTGTGTGTGTGTGTGTGTGTGTGTGTGTGTGATGAACTGTATATTTGTTGAGCAAACAAAGATGTGTCCCATGTGCTGCTTGCCTTCAGGTATCCTCTTTCAGATATAGATATATTTATTATTAATTTCTCAGACTTAGCTGTCTACACCTCACCAAATCAGTTTAGGACTATTGCTTGCTCTGTGTTTGTTTGTTGTTTGTTTTTCTGAAAAAGGTTTTGGGTTTTTTGTTTGTTTGATTGTCTGTTTGTTTATTGAGACAGGGTCTCGCTATACAGCTCTGGCTGTCCTGGAATGGAACTCACTCTGTAGATCAGGCTGCCTCCCGAGTGCTAGAATTAAAGGCCTGTGCCACCCACCATGCCGTCTTGAAGCAGAGTTTTAAATGTAGCTTGGGTTGGCCTTAGCTCACTGTAGAGTACAGGCTTGCCTAATCACGTGGTCTGAGGGGCCCCTGCAGGTGTCATACAGGGAAGCAAATCGCTCAAAGAGATAAGAATGAAAAGCAGTGCAGACTGACTTGTCAACCTGGGTCAGACTTCAGGGAAGTTCAGGGGGTTGATTCCCGATGTGTTTAAGCCCAGCATATTTTGGGAGAGTGTTTCCTGGTGTTATACAATCCCCGTTGCCCAGAAAGCATAATTACATTGAAAGTCAACTCAGGGTGCATGTCATTTCTTCCAAGAAGATGGGTTCAGAGATAGGCTACCTGGACTAGCTTAAGGGCCTAAGGGCCTGGCCCGATCTCTGTCATTGTAGAGGTCATTTGGGCTGTTATCCACTTCCGGTCCTGCTTGTCCAGGTTGTGGGAGCCTCTGGCTCTAAGGGTCATTTAGATAACTAGCCACCTGTGGTCCTGGTTGTGGGGGCTTGGGAGAGCCTCTGGCTATAAGGGTCATTTAGATTACTAGCCACCTCCAGTCATGATTATAAGAGCTTGATATGGCCTGGCTCAACAGATAATGCAGATCACCGGGCTATTAACCACTTCCAATTTGCAGCTTTCTGGATGGAAGAACAGGTTTTTCATCTTTCCCATTGGAGAGACAATCCTGTGTGCTTAACATTCCTGGTTACTCTGGAGATCTGTGGACTCAAGGACCTCTGTGCCCCCAACAATGGCCCTCCTACTTCAGCTATTAAAGTATTGGAATTGTAAGCATGTGCCACCATGCCCAGCAAAGGCTGACTTCCGATAGACTACAGCAAAAGAGCCATTTCTTACATATAAAATCCCAAAGTAGCGTTTGAAATGAGTTATTCAGTATCTGAGTTGAGAATAGTCCCTTGCCTATGACCAAATCTAAGCTGCATTTTATCTGAACAAGCAGTGTTGCAAGGCAAAGGGGTAGACAGGAATTTCTGTTACCAACTACCTACCATTTACTGAGTGTTTGAATATAATAGTTCACTATCACTGACTCGATTGGCATTATCCTGCAGAATATGTTGAGTGGGTCATGGAGAACTTACATGGGTAACATCATTAGAAGATTCAAAGTCAGGGCTGGAGAGATGGTTTATTCCATGAAGTCCTTGCTATACAAGCACGAGGACCTGAGTTCAGATACCCAGCACCCATGTATACAAAAGGCTGTATGTGGTCCTTTGCACATGGAACCCCATCTGGGCACAGGAGGATTCCTGGGGCTCTTGGCCAGCTAGTCTTGCCAAATCAGGTGAGCTCCAACTTCAGTGAAACACTCCTGTCTCAACCATAAGGTGGGAAAGCAATAAAGAAAGACACTCACTGTCCCCTCTGGCCTCTCCACACAGGCATGGACACACTCATAAGCAACGATTCAAACTCATCTGCTAATCTTCCAAGCACATCTCCTTTCTCTTTAGAGAGATACGCCTTGCCACAGATGGAAATAGTTACAAGGTCTTTAGTTGATTTCTAAACTTCTCCTGTTGTGTGCCATGCTGTGGTGAACATCTTCAGAGCTAAGACAACATGGTTTGAGCGCACACAGGCTTTGGAACCCTGGTACCCAAGTTCAACTTTTAGATCCTTAATGTTGCAGCTGTGAATCCTGGGCCTGACCCAAAGTAAATGCTATGTATGTAAGAGCTGATACTGGTGAATAATAATGTCATTGTGGATATGTTTTTAAAAAGAAATTACTCAGTCTAAAGCAGTTTTAAGAACCTGATATATATTGGGCTGGTGAGATAACTGAGTGGTTAAGGGTGCTTGTCTCCAAGCCGGACCAGACTTTGATCCCTGGAACCCACAGGGTGGAAGGAAATAACTGACCCCAGCAAGGTGTCCTCCTGCCTCCACACCTCACTGGGGCATGCATGCACCCACATTCACACATCCTACACAAAAATACTAAGAACCTGATACATATTTCATATGCATGGCCAAATAATTTTGTACAA